TTTTATATTAGAGAAAATAATTTAGTCTACTTGTGATCCTTTATTTTTTTTATTCAAGCTTTCTGTGATTTATTTATTTATGTGTTGGTTTTATTATGAGTTTAATGCATTAAATTAGTTCATCACTAATTTGATAATTATATGAGTCTCTTACGAATCGAGATGTGAGTTTGAGATTTAGACCATGTAGTAAAATTCGATACATTAACATAACGTGTAGAGATACATACACTAATTATTGCGGTCATAATATGAATTCTTAAAATTAGTGTTTCGTTTAACTAAAACAGATTCACACAGAGAGATGAAAATTAATTATTTAAATATGCTCTTTGGAAACTCGAGAGTGATAAATTCAATACAATAGAAGAATTTTATCGAACACTAAATTAGGTTATGAATCTTGAATTAATAATTGAGGTGATCAATAAATAAAATTGTTATACTCTAATATTCATTACATATTTGAATATTCAATTATCCGTTGTGTGCAATCTTTTTATATTGTCAAGTAGTCAAAAGTAGTTGAGTAAAATAATCACAACTATCATAATTATTGACTTATTTTTGTCGGATATGAGTTAGAAAATTTAGATTAAGTCTTAAAGTATAATTTTCATGAGAACGATATCCGGACCCAAAAGTCTACTATACCACTTGTTCCAATATCGTATACCTATTATAGGCATGTTTGAGCCACATTATTTTTTTTATTTTTATTTTTCTACTCATTTTTAATCACACATTTTTCAATAAAATAATATTTTCTATCGTATCAATGAATTTTCTTTAATATTTACTATCGTATCAATGAATTTTCTTTCTTTTTCAATTACACTTTTCTTATCACTTCGTAAAAATGCATTCTTTTTTAAAAAAAGTGCATCGGACGGGAGCTATATAAAAAACGCAATATACAAAATACGACACAAAGCACGTTTAACACTATTTTCATCTCCTTCCCCTCCCATTTTTTTAGATCTGTATTTTTCTTTCGCTGTGTCGTCATGCTACCCGCCATTGTTCTCTCACATTGAAAAACCCTAACTTCACACACCACTCCAGGTAAAATCGACAATTAATTGAATAAAATCTCTTTTAATCACCTAACTGCAGTTTAAGTTATATGATTAATTGAGAGAATTTTTTTGGTTTGATTTTTGATGTTTTTGATATGATCAGTGGATTCGCCTGGGAAGAAAGCATATTTGAATAACTTCTTGGTAGAAGGCTTTCTCTAATATAGAATTTATGTCCCAAATTCAATCAAACGTTGGAAGGAGCGAGTCTGCACAGTACAGGAAATCCGGTGGCTCAAATCAACAACACCAGTTCTCCGGGCCCGGTTCAGTTAAGGGAGGCCGCGTCTCTTCCTTCCCCTCCAATCGGGGGCGAGAAACCCAAATGCGAGCTGGGATTCTAATGCTCCATCTGCAGCACATGCTGTACAGTATGGTACTAGTCAACAGCAGCTACCCCATGGTATGCAATAAGGCTAAGTTGATGATTAAGTTATATATATTTTTCATTCTTATTAGAGTGTTAGGTTGATAGTTGTATTTTTCCCATATTTCCACTTGCAATTAATGATTTTGTAATACTCTTTTTGATGTCTTAGCTCCTGGAGATGCATCAAATCCATTTCTTCTACAATTTGGATCCATAAGTCCGGGTTTTATGAATGCAATGCAGGTATGCGTCAATTGCGTGAAGGCCAAAAATATATTTCATTTTTATTTTTACTTCTGTTTTGTCTTGTCATGTCATTTGTAAACTCTTGAATCCGAAGGATTTCTCCCAACATTTTGTAGGTACCCGCTCGAACAAGTTCTGCCCCACCAAATTTGGATGAGCAGAAAAGAGATCAGGTTTGTGGTTCTCTCCTTTCTAGTGATTCACCTGGCAGATCTGAAGTTTCCTTCAACTGCCAAAATATAAGAATCTCATGAATCCCTCTTCTGGGATAGAAATATTAAAAATACTCAAGAGTTAGTATCTGGAGCATTGTGGTGCTTTGGTTCTTTGACGGTGTGTTAATATATCTTGGAGGCGAAGGGAAGGGAAGGGAAGGGAAGGGACTGGAAGCGAAAGGGAGAGAATGAAGTTACAAAGGGAAAGGGTTTTACTGATATAAATTCTTGTTTTGGTGAAGTTAGGGGAAGGGAGGACTTCTATTATTTAAAGAAGCTAAAGGGAGCAAAATCATTTTTCTTCCTTCTCCTTCTCTATTAATCCACATACAAAAGGGAAATTTCCTCCATTTCCATTTGTTATCCTTGTTCTAAATGAAGTCTTAACAGTTGATTGTCATTTCAGTGATGCTGTATGCTTTTACTCTCCTCACAGTTTCTGATAGTAGCATCTTTGAATATTTTCTTTTCCGTATAAAAATATCCATTAGCACTGTAGGATTTTGGGGCTCCAATCAACACCAAACCGGGCTCAGCTTCACCAAACCGACACCACAATCGACACCAAGAAATCTCAATCAAACCTTCCCAATCCGGCTGCTTCTTGA